GGACACTGAACCTCTGGGGAAGGAGAGGATGAGGGAGAATAGGGTAGGTGTGAAGTCTGATGGCCGCATGTCTACACAGATGCGTCTTAGATTAGAACAGTCTTTACTGAGGTTTATGGAGATAATTCAGCGCCTTGCCGCCAAAGAAGATGACCCCATGACCGGATAAAAGACAGCCGTCATAGTACCCCTGAGCATGTATTACATGCCAATGGACTGTGTGTGCTCGAGGATATAAAGAGGCTGTTAAGGGCGGGGAAAGATAAGTCAGGAGATTGGGATTGACATATACACACTACTGTATATAGAAGAGATAATCAACAAGGACCTACTGTGTAGCACAGGGAACGCTACTCAGTACTCTGTAATGACCTATATGGGAAAAGAATCTAAAAGAGTGGATATATGTATGTGTATAACTGATTCAGTTTGCTGTACAGCAGAAACTAACACAACATGTAAATCAACTATATTTCAATAAAATAAATAAATAAAATAAAGAGGCTGTTCAAGAGTGTTGACAAAGTTGTTGGCAAGGTTAAGAAATGGGCATAGAAGAAAATTCAGGTAACAGAGGACAACCAAATACTGACTGCAGAGGAATCCAGCAAGGATTCCTAATATGTTCTCTCCTGTTTAGAAACCTTGGAAGCCAACTAGGGTACCATTTCAAAATCTGATATGCTTGTGGTTCGAGTTGCACAGAAAGGTGGATAATGAGTGTGTCAGGAGTGGCCTGTCCTATGACCTATTCACTTTGATCATTTCCATGATCACAGAATGCACACCTTGCCCTAACCAACCACCTGGCAAAATCCAGCCCTGCTGACAAGAGAAACTTGGCAAGCCAGAGTTTCCAGGGTAGAAAGGCCACCTATTACAGTACTTCTACTAGAAAAAAATATCTCAGAGCGCTTGGCCTACTGATGTCAGGATCACCTTTACTTGCCAGGAACAAATGATTGCGGTACAGAAGGCCTAGAACCCCCGGCTGGACGTGAATCAATCAGAGAGGAAGGCTAATGGTACCGCGCTGTGCATTCCTCCGACGCAGGGGCCGTGTCTGCTCCCCTCTGGGGGGGACTGCAAGTGTTCGGCTCACAATGGACATGTTGCTGATAAGACTGTCTGCTTAGTTGACGACACAACTCTACAACGAAAGCCCTGGCCTCTTCTGGGTGCGAGGAAGGTGGGAAGGTCGGAAGAAGTGGGTGCACAGAAGCCGCTATTGAAATTCCCTTTAGAGTTGAGAGGCCGAGATGGAGGGGACGAGCAAGCCAGTGTGTGGCTGTAATCTGTCCTGGGGACGAGCTGGGCTGCCTTTCCTTAACCCCCAACGCCCTCTCACCTCAGAAGTCTGAAGTTCCCTACGTCGGGGAATAAAGGGAAGGAGCCAACACTCCAACCCCGGGACCCGAGCTGGGGCGGGAGGCGGGTGCAGAATATAAGAAACACCCCCGCGGACTAGTTTCTGAGCAGGAAAGTGGACCGGGAACAGCGCATTTCCTGCTTCGCCTGTGCAAACCCCAGGCGGGGCCGAGCGGGAACAGGGTTACGGTCGAGGAGTCGCCGGCTGCCAGGGCGGGGTTCGGGGCGGCCTCGAGGGGGTCCGCGGACCAGGGCGAGAGGCCGGGGCGGGATGCAGGCGGAGGGCGTGGGAGAGGGCGTGGGAGCAGAACGCACGCCTCCCATCCTCGTGCCCAGCGAGCGTCCCCAAAGACACTCTCGGCCCCGCGGGAGAGGCGGGTGCCCCGAAGGTCAGCGTCGGACGCCAGATGCGGGGTCCGCGGGGCTCCGACCCTCGGGGGCCTCCCGGGCCGGAGCCGGCGACCGCGATCTCTCGGGCCCTCCTTCCTCCCCACCTCTCCCATCCCGCCCGCGACTTTGGACCTCGCATCCCGGACCCGCGGGGGACCGGCGCGGGGACGGGAAGGAAACGCGCGAGGTACGCAGAGCCGGCCCGCGGCCCTACCTGGGCGGTGCGGAGCCCCGGGCGCGCTGCGTGCCGCGCGCCGCCTTCCGCTCGGCTCCCGGAGGCCGCCGCGGGCGCGCGACTTACAAACGCAAAGGCCTTATTATTGTTCTCTGTTCCGGGGATACCATTGTCTGTCCGTTCCCGGCGTCGGCGGCGCGCGCTCCCTCCCCGCTCCCGCGCACTAGCTCTCCGGAGGCGACCCGGATCTGCCCCGGTGCCCACGGCCTTCCCCGGCCGCCGGAGTGTCCTTCGTCCGGCTCCCGCTTCCCGAGCATCGAAACACAAAAGCCTGCCGGAAACCCCCGGCCTGTGCCTGGTCACTCAGGGGTCCGAGCCGCGGCTCGCCACCTACCCGGGTTCATTTCTGCGCCCGCCGGCCACGGGCCCCGAGGGGCAACGGGCACGGCCTCGTGCCGCGCTAGTCGCGTCCTCGCCCAGCCCTTGGGCCTCGGGTCTGGCCTGGGGACCGGGCGTGCCATTAGTAGCCAGGAGCCCAGAGATCTCGGTCCGTGCACTGCGGGCGCGCCCGGCCGGCCGCGTGTACACGGCTCTTCCTCGCGCACTTGTTTGCCCCCCTCCCCCCGCGTAAATCTCTCGTGATGAGAAAAGCAAGGCTCGCAGGAAGCCACTCCGGATGTTTGCTGCTTTTCATGTGGCATTTGTGGCTGGCTCTGATAACGGCCCGAGCTCGACTTCCAACACCGCGTTTAGTAAAGGGACCGAAATAGAAGAGTCCACACACTGCGCAGACCGGTCTGCGGCGCCACCAGCCCCAACACGCTCCCCCCAAATCTATGACAAGTGAAGGATCAGAAGAGATTAGATACAGGCAACGGTATAGTATAGAAGGGCCTAGTCTTGGAAAGGCACCACAATTCCTTCCTATAAATAGAAGTAAATTGCTACTTCATAACTTCCAGGGAGGGTGTTATAAGCAGTAGGGGGAGGGGCGCTAAAATCTGTAGCTCCAGCTCCATCCTATGGATCCTGTGCTCTCACTTGAATTCTCAGTATCTTACCCAAGAAAAGTCAGTTGTTAGTCTCCAGAACAAGTGCAAATAATAATGGGGAAAACTGCCCCCCCCGCGTTTTTTTCCCCGTCACTTTCTCGACCCTTGTGGCACCTCTCTCTGCAATGAGGTTCCGAGGAGGTACACGAGGATGAAGAAAGTGTACAAGGGTAAATCCGTGCATATACATTTTTTGGACTCACACGTGGATTGTATTTCCTGCACCCTATGTTATGTTTTTATGGAATTAGTCATATAGATTCATCTAGACAGATAAAATGTATTCTCGAACAGGGATTATTTTTGTTTGGTTTTCCATCTCTATTCTGAGAAAACTCCCATTTGTTCATAGAAACTTTCACGCTGTTAGAAAGTCCTGCTTTGAGATCTCTGAGAAGATATTACTTTGCAGCAAAGTTAGAGAAGATCACCAAGAAAACAAGGAGCCAGGCGCCGCGTGATAAACTTGTTCTCTCTACTTCTATAGTTTCCTTATCAGATAACCAGCTGTAATGCAGTCTTGCTTAATTTTCAAGCCCATATTTTTCTTTTTCAGAAAAATAAACTCTTAAAGGAAAAGTACATAATCAGTTAAATGTGTTTAAGATTATCAACTGCTTCAAAACCACCAATTAAAAATAACACCTCTCTATTATTTCCTTAAGCAGATTACTTTTTAAATTCTTGTCTGAACCTCAGCGACCCAGAACTAGAACCACTTTCTGGCCGCTGAAGGTGAGGGAGGGCAGCCAACGTCACAGATTCTCACGGAGTTCAAGCTGGCTTAAAACAAGTGTGCAGAAGCTCTTTGGAGAAATAGCAAAGTCAGAGAAACCGAAGGCCAAGTGTTTTCAAAGCTTCTGTTTCTTTGTTTTTATGAATGCCACTAACAAGCGGACTTGATAGATTACTTGTCCCTGTCGTATCACACTAGAAACTGCAGCACTTACCTCCCAGATCCCGGTAAGCCCTAGTTTTTCATCACCCCTTCACAGTAAACAAAGTCTGTTGTAGAGATTGATATATTGGTTTCTTTGCAAAGTTATCTAATTATGCAGGAATGGCCGTGTTCGTTGCTGTAGAAAACAACGCAACACACAAACAAGTACACGAATACAACAGCTTGGCTTAAAGGTTAAGAGCTCCAAGACTCAGAAGGTTTCTCAGATTGATACAGAAGTTTAACGGTCATTCAGATTTTCATTGCAGTCTAGAGAAACATAGAGGAATCCCCCAGTCATCTGTGAGGGTCACCACCTCAAACTGACCCTCCAAGCTACAGTTATTTCGCTCCTCAGGAGTTGCTTTCTTTCCTCTAATCGGCAGGCATTTAGATAAATATCACTGCTGTCTTTACCACATTTTAGAAATCAAAACTAAGCCTTGCCTCTTTTACTGAACACATATGAGAAAACTTTGTTTACTGTACATTTCACGTACAAATTGTCAAGGGTTGGTTCGTCTTTTTTGGGTAAACGTTTTCATTTCTTCAGAATGACGTTTGTAATCTTGTTTTAGAAAGTAGAATTTACCTCGGACATAGCATTTTGAGTATAGTACAACAAGCACGTTGAATCCTTGGGAAGAGAAAGTATTTTGCAATTTTAAGACGTCCGTAGGTCTCTCGGAAGAAGGCTAGGTCACCCACCGCTGAAACACCCTCAGCTCCTGGTTTAGTGGATGCTTCGTGTGTTGATCCGAACTGCCGGGACCAAGTGCTCCTGTGCAGCAGTGCGATCAGCACCCGGGAAAGTTTTTCAGAAGTCCCTCTCCCCGGGTCGGAGAGGACGTGGCGCCTAAGCCCGGCTCCAGCCAGTTTTCCCAGGGGCAGGTGTAGCCCTGGGCGCGGGGTCGGGGCGGGGGAGGGGAAAGGGCGGGCTTGGGGTTGAGCTGGGACTTGGGACTTGGGCGGCGAGCTGGGCGTGGGCCTAGAGACGCCGGCCCGGCCCGCCCCCGTCGCTCTATTGGCCACGTCTGTGCAGAAAAGGCCCCGCGGCCTAGGGGCGCCCGCAGTGTCACTGGGCCGGCGGGGACGCTAGTTGCGCCGGGTCTGCGATCTGCCAGGGACGCCGGCGGCGGGGTCGGGCCGGGGGGCGCGAGCGGCCCGCGGGGCATCTCCCAATCTCGCTCCCCACCCCCTCCCTCCCCCCGGTCGGGGGAGGCGGCGTGTCCGGCGGAGGGGCGCGGGGCGCGGGGCAGGGCTGGAGCGCCATGAGCAGCCCGGATGCGGGGTACGCCAGTGACGAGCAGAGCCAGCCCCGGAGCGCGCTGCCCGCCGTGATGGCCGGGCTGGGCCCCTGCCCCTGGGCCGAGTCGCTGAGTCCCCTCGGGGACATGAAGATGAAGGGCGAGGCGGCGGCGAGCAGCGGGGCGCCGGCCGGGACGGCGGGTCGAGCCAAGGGCGAGTCTCGCATCCGGCGGCCGATGAACGCCTTCATGGTGTGGGCGAAGGACGAACGCAAGCGCCTGGCGCAGCAGAACCCGGACCTGCACAACGCCGAGCTGAGCAAGATGCTGGGTGAGTCCGAGCCCGGGACCCAGAGAGTGCGAATCGTGGAGCCACTTCCTTGAGTCTCACGGGGTGTGGGCCTCGCGCCGGAGGAGGCTGGGGGTGCGCGGCCGCCACGTCCTTCCCTGGGGCCCTCGGTCCCTTCCCGCTTCCCGCTCTCCGAGTCTCCGAACGGCTTTGGGCCTCGGCGCCCGGCTTCCCCGGGTGGCCGGGGCGCGGGTGCAGCGGCCCCGGGAGGCGGCTTCCCCGCGCGTCGGAGTGGCGGCGAGGGTACCCTGGCGCGGAGCTGGCTTTGGTCGCGCCCGTTCCCCCGACTCCTTGCCCGGGTGGGGACGCTCTCGGTTCCTCGGACGACCGCGAGCGGTTGAGCGGGAAGCCGCTTCCAGGAGGCCACAGGAAGGCACCGAGGCCTCGCGTCTTCCTCGCGTGCTCGGCCTCCGCGGGCCCAGCGTTCACCTTCACCTGGACCCCTTCTCCTCCCTGCCCGGGCTGCACAATCCGAGGTCGGAGGCGAGGGCGGTGGGACCAGCTGGGGCCCGGGAGCGGGGCTCCGACCCTAAGCCCGCGCGCCTCTCCACCTCCCGCGCTCCCGCAGGCAAGTCATGGAAGGCGCTGACGCTGGCGGAGAAGCGGCCCTTCGTGGAGGAGGCCGAGCGGCTGCGCGTGCAGCACATGCAGGACCACCCGAACTACAAGTACCGGCCGCGGCGGCGCAAGCAGGTGAAGCGGCTGAAGCGGGTGGAGGGCGGCTTCCTGCACGGCCTCGCCGAGCCGCCGGCGGCCGCGCTGGGCCCCGAGGGCGGCCGCGTGGCCATGGACGGCCTGGGCCTGCCCTTCCCCGAGCAGGGCTTCCCCGCGGGCCCGCCGCTGCTGCCCCCGCACATGGGCGGCCACTACCGCGACTGCCAGGCTCTGGGCGCGCCCCCGCTCGACGGCTACCCGTTGCCCACGCCAGACACGTCCCCGCTGGACGGCGTTGAGCCCGACCCCGCCTTCTTCGCCGCGCCGCTGCCTGGGGACTGTCCGGCCGCCGGGCCCTACAGCTACGCGCAGGCCGCGGACTACGCGGGGCCCCCGGAGCCGCCCGCCGCCGGGCCCCTGCACGCCCGGCTCGGCCCGGAGCCCGCGGGCCCCGCGATGCCGGGCCTCCTGGCGCCCCCCAGCGCCCTGCACATGTACTACGGCGCGATGGGCTCGCCGGCGGCGGCGGGCGGCGGGCGCGGCTTCCAGATGCCACCGCAGCCGCCCCCGCCGGGCCCGGGGCAGCCGTCGCCGCCGCCCGAGGCGCTGCCCTGCCGGGACGGCGCGGACCCAGGCCAGCCGGCCGAGCTCCTCGGGGAGGTGGACCGCACGGAATTCGAACAGTACCTGCACTTTGTGTGCAAGCCCGAGATGGGGCTCCCCTACCAGGGACACGACTCCGGCGTGAATCTGGCGGACAGCCACGGGGCCATCTCCTCGGTGGTGTCCGACGCCAGCTCCGCGGTGTATTACTGCAACTACCCCGACGTCTGACGGGCCCCTTCCGACCCAGCCTGCAGGCCAGAAGCACAAACAGTGTTACACACTTCCTGGAGGGGCTAAGGAAATCCTCAGCCTCATGTCGTGTCATGTTGTTTTGAAGTTGCCTTGGCGTATAATTTATGGTAATTTATTTTGTCTGCCACTCGAACACTTGGGGGGAGAAAAATGTTGAGGTGGTGTTTGAAGATTGGTTCAGACACTTGTTTCCCACAGTTGCGTTGTCAAAACCCCACTTCCAAGTTCAAGTTCACCAGTTTTCAGTGGGTCCCGGAACAACTCGCTCCGTTTCCCGAAGCTTTATTGATCTAAGAAATTTTATCCCGGGTGTGTTTTTTCAATCTTAAAAATAAATAAATAAATAAAATCTGGAATCCTACTTTTTCACTCTGCTAGCGCCTCTGTCACAAAAGCCAATTTTTGAGATCACTGTTAAGTATTTAATATAATTAGAAATATTTTAATGATGACACTATATAGTCACTGTAAATTTCTCATTCTCCTGTAATAGTAGACTTGAATGCCTTGAAGGAGAATCCCTCAGATGAACATTTGGGCGTCCCAGGTTGTCTTTGCTAGGGGAAAAAAAACCTCACAGAATGAGCCTGCTGTGCATTTCAAGTGACCCTAGTTCTACAAAGTAATGGTGAATCGTAACACTAAATATTTTCAATTTTAGTGTATCACTTTCTAAATCAGAGGAGAACATCCAGGTAATTTCGGTTTTCTTGTTGAATCTTGAGATCTGACTAAAGAGGCTTTTGGATTGTCTTTTTTTCTTGTCTGTATTTCACCAAGAATCTTTAAGCTCCCTCTCAACACTGAACTCGCCAATCATCACACATCTACACCTTGGGAAGTAGTGTTGCTGGGTTAAAAATAATTTGAAGGAGTCACAGGAACTAATCAAAATAAAATGTGCATTGTGACCTCAACTGTTATGAAACTTAGCAGCTATCATTTCAGTGTGATATTTTGCTATAAACTGCGTACAGGGTCCACTGCACGTCCTGGCACCAGCAGTTCTTAAGCTTGGGGTGGGGGTGGGGGGGATCCAGGGATGATTTGCGGGCAGTGTGCTTTACAAATGCAGCTATAGCTGCAGTCCTAGGGCATCACTATCCTGCCCTTACAGGGAAGAAACTGAGGCACAGGTTGTGAAGCAGGTCAGCCTTGCTCGCTGCTGCAGCGCTCATTGCTGTGGCCCTTCCCATCACACTTTGCAGATGAGACATAAATGGATGGGTACAGACGACCTGTAATGGGCATTTCTTGTGCCAGGTGTTTCATCAGTGCCATTTTGTACTGAATTTGAGCCTGATCGAGCCTGTGAGATTAGGTGCAATTCTCCCCGTTTTGCAAGTGAGGCAAGGAGGCACAGAGCCCTCACCTGCCGTGTACATGGTGAAAGCTTGGTGTTGCAAGTTCTGACAACATATTCGTTCACATTTGTTTTCCTTTGTGCAGGGTGTACCTGTGGGCACTGGGAGAACTTGCATTCTGGTGGTGAGAAACGGTCTCATTTTCCATGTTGATAAATGCTATAGAGAAAAGGAAGGGGTAGGAAGATGGCTTAAAGCATTTATCTTGAGGGTTATCTGAGCTGACATGGTTGGCTGGATTCTCTTGAAGAATGGCAGGGCGTGTGTTTTTTACAAAGGGTTCTGGGGTGTTAGGAATGTTCGGGATGAAGGTTTCGGTGAGGAAAGGTAAGTCTATTTTGTTAGGCGTAACAGAGGTTACCTTAAACATTTGAAATGAAAACGTTCACTCCAGGTTCTGGCTATCTCCAATCCAGTTTGTTTGCCTCTGGTACCCTAGCCTTTTCCATTCATTCTTCCTCTGACCCCAGACAGGTTCTGCTTCCTACATTCCTGGTGGATAAAGTGAGCAGAGGTACCTCACTCAGGTTCAAGGCTGTGTCACCAGTTCAGATCACACCAGGCATTTTAGTGCATACTTGGTTGGCCCAAGGAGACTCAGTTGTATCCTTTGCTGCTGCCTCTCAACAAAGTTTAGAAGATATGGATTTCCCCAGTGGTCCAGTGGTTAAGACTCCGCGCTTCCACTGCAGGGGGCACAGGTTCGATACCTGATCGGGGAAGTTCTGAGTGCCGGTGCAGTGCAGCCAAAAATGAAATAATTCAGAAGGTACACAGGGTAAAGAGGAAAGGAGAAAAGAAAGTGCTTGGGGGAAGAAGTCCTGTGACGTTACATTCTTAACTGCTCACCAGGGACCTGTCAAATAACGAGGGAAAATAAGAGCTAAAATTGTTCAGCATTTCCAATGCCTTTAACCCCCAGTGGAGGGAAATTAGTCCTCACGATAATTCTTGGAGACAGAGGCATGTCATCCATCCCTTGTTTTTCCCCAAGCAGACTCAGGTGAAGCGACCTCAGGTACCAGCTAGTGACTGATTTTTGGTTTACCTTGGAAACAAATACATAAAAGACCCATTGTTCCCCCCCCCCCACTTCTGAGATACTTTAGAAGTATGTCGGGAGGTAGAAATCAGGGCAGCTCTCCTGAGTTGTAAGCACTCTTAGTTGTCATGCTTATTTGACTTGCCTTAGATGATAGTCTACGGAAAGCTAGGAATGCCCTTCCAGGGAGCACACACACACGCACATGTGCAATATTTTAGACATAGTTTTAGGCAGTTCATGACTCCTCTTAACTCATCCAAAGTTTGTAGGAATCCGAAGCCCTCAGGTTTAGAAGCGCTGATGGAGAAGGTTTGTTGGGAAGCATGGCACCCAAGCATTGTAGCAAAAAGGTAGTTTCCCTTTATTTGAAAACACAAAAGGACAGACATCTCAAGAATCCTCTCATGTTACTGAGTTGAATCAAGGAACGCAGCGTTGCGTCCCTCTCACAAAGGCAACTGTGATGCCCTGCCAGATGAAGACACGGTCTTTCCCCTTTGTGCAGTGTGGTGGGTGGTGGCTTATCTCCCTACCTTGGGTATTTACATCCTTGTATCAACTCCTCCCACACTTAATCTGGGTTGGACTTGCTACTCTAACCCAATAGAATGCAATCGAAGTGAGGCTGTGCAGGCAACCAGGACCAACCCTCAGGAAGCCTAGGCAGAGTCTCTTTCTTGTACTCCCAAGAGCCCTGAGCTACTGTATAGGAAGTCCAGCTACCAAGGTGGTGAGACCACGTGCAGAGACCACGCGGAGCGGAGAGACCACTCGCCAGCCTGCGAAGGGAGGGCTCCCATCTCCTGCGACCATCCTGTCGACTGGAACGCAGGAGAGGCCAGAAGAACAGATGCCCAGACGAGCGCAGGCAATTCACAGGTGGGAGAGATTAAAAAAAAAAAAAATAGTTGTTGTAAACCGGGAAATACTAGGGAGCTTTGTTAACTTAGCAACAGGTTATTGACATGGGTTTTATCCTAAATGACCCTTTCTTATTTTGAAGTATAGGAACGTGGGCACTGGCGGGAAAATCAGGAAAAGCGTTTTGGGTCCTGTCAAATATATCAATAGTTTTAAAGTGAGGGACAGAATGTCAAACTTGACTCAGGTTGGACGACCGTGGTGTCACCAGATGCGTAGACTCCTCTCCTCAAGCAGACGTGGATGAAGTGACCACGGGTACCAGCTGGTGACTGATCTTTTAAAAGGATTAAATTTCTCTCAGTTTTTAATGGTTTTCTTTTGGGCACAAATACATAAAGGATACACTGCTTCCCCTGCTCCCTCCCACCCCATCTTTACTTCGGAGGTACCTGAGAAGTGTGTCACGAGGCAGGAATCCAACCATTTCATGGGCTGAGATATCCAGATTGGGTGCCAGCAGAGAGTCTACACACCTTTGAGGGACCCAGAAAAAGAAGACGGTATTTTCTTTCCCACCAGATACTGCCTGATCTCTATTAAAGCTACCAGGGCAGGTCTGATAAGCTACAAATAAACGTGCAAGCTCCTTATACAGGCAGCTAGGAGACAATATCCCACTGAAACTATTTCCCTTACCTCTTATTCTTATCTCAGAAGATGACTGCGCCTTTCATCTGAATCACACTGCAAAAGACTTCAGCTTCTTCTGTACATTTATGCTGATGTCAGGAAAAGCACATACAAGCAAAAGGAATTCAGAGAAAATGGAGTGGGTGCTATGAACCAAAAGGTATCATCGCTGTCTGACATCCTTAAATGTCCCATTTCATTTTGTTTTTAATACTCAGAACTGTGCCGGTCACATAATAGATGTTCAACATTCCCTTCCTCCTATTCCCCTTTGATTTGTTTTGACAACAGGGGCTGGGCGAGAGAGATTTTACATCCATTATTTTAGCGTAGATTTTTTTCTTCCTGCTTACGAGGTGCTTCCTTCTGAATCCCGAATATTCATTCATCTGAGAAAAAGTGGCTTTGGTGTCCCTGACCACCCAGGTGGAGTAGGATGTGGAATGTTCTGCTCCTTCCTCCACGGGATGAACCTGTGGCCTAAAGAACATTCCTTGGGTCCCCTGACCTGGGATGAAGCTGCATCTCCTTAATTTTTCACTGTAACACCTACCCCGACCTTCCCTCTAGTGAGAAAGTTGCGTGCTTTCTCCTGAATCATTAGACAGCTTCGCGTGAATCAATTTGCACTGTCCCCCTTACACCAGCACTGAACCCTCACCACTGGCAATTCTCCCAGCTTTATTCAAGATTCTGGATATTAAAAATTCTTAGGGCAGTACCAAATAGTATTTAAATAATAAAACAATACTTCTTAGCAAAATATAAAATTTCTTAGCCCTAGTATACAGCAAGCGCTAAAGAAGTTGTTGCTACTATATTAATAATGTTCTTTAATGTAAACGTTCTCTGAAGCTCAGGTCCAAACAACAGTTTGGTTGAATAAAAGAAAAAAAATTTTAATCTTATTCTTGCTGAAGACAGTTTAGTTTTGAGGATCTTCTTTCCACTTTAGCCAAAGTCTCGAACGTTTTGTCAGGGTCGAAATCATAACAAGTATTCCCCAAGGTGATATTGATCAAAAAGATGATCTGGGAAGTAACACTCTGCGTGGAGATTCAGATGAGTATCAATAAGTTGCAGTAGCCTTGCTGTGGACCCCGTTTTCTACAGGGTCATGGGCAGTGCCCTCGCACATACCTGATCTCTTGTTAGGCAAGGAAAAGAATGGTTAGCAGTGTTCTGGTTTGTTTGATTCCTGTGGTCACAAGGAGTGCCCCCGGGGCAAGGACTGTCTCTTCACTTTGTGTCACCTGACCTGGCACCCGGTAAGTGCTCAGAAATGGACTGAGTAACTGACTTGGTACCTCAGTTGAAAACCGCAGTTTTCCGAAGGAACTGGGAGTTCCTGCTTTGTCGCTCTTCTACTTGAGACAGTCCCCAGTGGCTAGAACTCG